GTCCAAGTGTCAGCCCTTATCAATGCAATTGACAACAGAGCAGTGGTGAAGACTATTCAGCCTTTTACGCATCGCATCTTACAAACAAAATCGACTCCGAAAAGTAATGATTAAAAAGAATTTAAAAAAGTTACAAGCATAACTGGCCCCTTCCTGACCATTTATTACCATTGCCTAGGAAACTAACTGCTGCGATCAAAGCATCTTTCCAATGAGCCGTCTGCTCGATCCACTGACAAAACATGTAAAGATGTGGTGGGCATCTATCTGCTCAATAAAATATCAATCAAAATCAGACAAATAACCGATCATAAAATAATCGATCATATCTTACAAAAGACTAACAATTTTGATCGGAAAAGATATGAGTTTCAATTTTCTGAAAAATGAACCATTCAAACCATTCAATATTTTCTCATCGGTTGTTTTTCAACAGAAATCTCTAAAAAGAAGGCTTTAAAACGTTTCGCAGCTGAAAAGAAGATATCAAGGGACAATCATAATTGATGAGCGAAAAGAATTCATAAGTGAAGTCAGTTGTGAAGAGTTGCGAGAGTCCCGTGAATTGCCTCACTTGTAATGTTCTCATCATGCACTAATAATCACCATCAAAAAAGAGAACATAAGACGGTTTTGCGACGCAGCAGCTAAACTTAACAACATTTCATTTTCTGGCACTCTGATACCACGCGCGGACTTTCTACGGTGTCTGCTTGGATTAATTTATCGGTTCAGTGTAGATATGATTGGAATTTAGGGGTGCAGTGTTCCTTCAATTTGATGCAAGGTTCCTTCAATTTGCCGTTTGCGGTTACTTTTTAAGAACGAAGTGGACGGACGATTACGAAATTTCGAACCCAAAAGACATGTTTTTGAACTAAAAGTTCTCCAACGTGTGTTAACTATGCGTTGCTCAGAGCAGCAACATATCAAGCTATTTTTTTCAATGAACTAAAAATCAGAGGTTTTGGTTTCCGAAAAGGGATTTGCAGTATCCAAAAATTGACCCCAGTGTTTCTACTCACTCGATCACAGGCTGAAAAATCAATCAAACAAGCACTATGACTTTGAATAAACCAACTTTCCTATACTCGGATTGGAATGGAACTAGAAGGTGACACTTTTGAAGTTTCTACGGAACCTCTGAAGAAATTTCTTTTCGAAGATAAACGAAAAAGCGGTTGAATATTGTGTATCTAGTGTTTTTGACCCTGTGAGATCTTAATTTCCTTTCTCAATTAAAATTAAAATGCTGCTAAAAGCAATTTGACGTACCAAAGGGCAAGAGTGGAAAAACAGTTTGAACCAGATGATGCCGAGCACTTTAGCAATTGGGCTAACGAATTACACGAATTCAAAAAGATCGCAATACCCAGACGATACTTCTTCAGAAAATACGGACTGGCAAGCCGCCATTTTGTTTGTGACAGCAAAACGTCAAAGAGAACCGATGAGTCAGCTGTCCAGTTCCCACTTAGATCTGCAAGCAGTTCTATACTCCAGACGTCTGTAATCGAACCTGGTGTTAATTTTGATGAACTACACCAAAGGACAGACTCAATCACGGTACTCTACTGGGCTTATTATTGTGTTTGTGGCGAACAGAGAAGCGGAGCGGAGGATCTGGAAATTTCTATAATTGACAAACGGAATTACGTGCCTAATGCGGAGGGCCGACCTTGGAACCAGAGGAACGACTATTTTGGAATTGAACATAAGCGATTGGATAACAAGGCTAGGTCGGCTTAAGTCAGCTTGGCTCCTCCAAAACAGTGTTTTCCAACAACCAGAACCCAATAAAGCGGTCGAACGGGTTGCACTGCCCACCGCCCCACAACGAGTTGAAGCTATAAGTTTATGGGAAGGCTTCAGTGTCCTCCTTAAACTAGTGAACGCTATGACGCTTTGTCTTTGTTTTGAAAGAACACAATTTGGTACCCTTCATGTGGAAGAGCTAATGAAAACAAAAGAAACTATAAATAAACTGGCACAGGAAGAACGCTTAGCCGAAGATTATAAATGCCTCAAAACAAATCGCTCTTTAACCCAAAATCCTGCTTGATAAAATTCACTTCTTTTCTAATCAAAAAGGGAAATATGAGGTTGAAGGGAACATTCAAACATTCAAATCTGCCCTAGGATCAAAATTATCCAATAACTTTGGACGCCAAACATAAGTCAATTGCTCAAATGGTTTTGGACGACGAGCACCAAAAAAATGCATATGATGGAATAGAATATATTAGAACCATCGTTCATTAGAAATTCTGGAGAATTATTTTAAAAATTGCGTTGCGACAGATCGAATATCTATGAGACAAATGCCAAAAGCGTGACGTCGCTCCATATCGAATCATGACGTCTGAGTTTCCTGCCGAACGAGTTCGCCTGTGGTGTTCAATTTCACTAGCACTGGACTAAATTATTTGGACTACTTGATTTGAGATTTCTGAGAAGAAGTTTGAAAGGTTTCATTGCACGACGAGGTCAGCCAAGCATCATCCTGAGTGACAACGGTATCAACTTTTTAGGAGCTGCCAAGGAGTTGAATGAACAAACTGATGGCTGGAACATTCAAGATATAGAGGATAAAATGAAGCTAAAAACATTGTATGGAACTTATTGTGTGCTCCTAATTTTAGTGGTACTTGAGAGAGTTTGGTTAGAAGCTACAAACGATCAATGTTAGCAGTTTTGAGTCCTCGATCTGTAACAGATGAGTTTTACAGACAACGATGTTTCAGATGGAGCAAACAATGAATGCAAGAACGATTTTCTGATTGAAGAAAAACCCATACTTGTACTGATTTTCACACTTGTACGAAGACATGATTTGGCAACGATGGTCACGTGAATATTTACAGCAGTGGAATACGCGTGCAAAGTGGAATTTAGAACAACACAAATTTCTAAATGCGGGCATTTTGTGGTGGCTTATTTAACATTCAGTCATACGAAGCGACTACAACTTGTTCGAGTAATGGAAAATTTTCATGCAAAAAGCGGTTTCATACGAACAAGAACTGTCAAAACTTCAACAAGTATTTACAAAAATCCTCTGTTAAATAGGTGCCGCTGTTCTACACAGAATGTTTTCCAGCGAAAAAGAGACCCGAGAAGTTGGCTCCAGCGAAGACTCTCAAAACTTGTCAATTAATGCTTGTCATAATTTTTTATAAGGTGCATTTTTTTTTCTAATTTTAGCTAATTTGCTTCGTCCTTTTATGTTTTATTGACTCATTTTATTTCACACAGAGTGCGGATGTGCATTTTTAAACTCGTTGAGAGCAAGTTCATATCATTTATTTAAGTGAATTTCGGAATCCACCGTTTCCGGCCTCAGCCAATTTCTTGGCCCAAAAAACTTAGCGCCCTAAGTTACTTTACTTGTTGTCAAACGATGTTTTATGTTGTTTTAGTACACGATACATTCTTTATAATGTGATAAACACGTTCATTTTATAATTTCTGTCTATTTTTGTGACTTAAATGTAATCAAAATGTGTCAGGGTTTTTTAATCCTTGTTTATGTAAGTTTTGCTCTCATTATTCAAGTATCAAGTTTTTTTTGAGTTTAAATCAAGATTAGATCAGTTTGTAGATACAGACCTTCGATCCAAATTCGTTGGCACTTTTTCACCACTTAAAAAAAGATTGCTAGAATTATTGAGATGACCAAGGCCGGCGTAACGCTTCATCTTATTGAGCAGAGTTAGCAGCCGTAAAATTGGTAAATTATAAATTTTCTGCTCTTACTCATCCGCTTCAAGAACATGCATAGAAATTGCAACTAAACACAAACACATTGTACATAAAATTGTAGTTTGTTATTAGAGAAAGCTGTAGGCTTTTTAACTGGCCTTTCGTCTGTCTGTGTAAGGTTATTATCAATAGTTTTGGGCATACTTTGGAAACCAATAAAATGTTTTTTTTTCAGTCCCGACGATCGAAAAAGATGGGAATACCCAACTGTGGTATATCCATTTGAACTTTTAGAAATTGCTCGCTTAAACTTGCGCACATTTTCTTCTTCGGTCGAATCATGTACGATGTTGGCCATGGCAATTCAAATTAATTTGGTTATTGGTTGAATTAAAACAGCAAATTTTTTGGCGATGAAAAAGTACAAAACATACTAAAATGTTTACTTACTTCAAATTACTTTTAAAATAAAAAAGTGTTGACCAAAACTGCCGCAACTTACCCAACTGTCGTCAAAAAAGTCTGAGCATACCAAAATAGAAACATATGTCCAAATCGACCATATAGACACTTCAGTGTTATGAAAACAAACGGATCGTATGAGGGGTTTTCGAATACTTCCTTTCGGATGGGTTAATGACCTACAAACCACTCATCTACGCAGTAGCGTGGCGAGATGGGGGGGGGGGGGCGATCGCTTCCTCTCCTTCGATTCTGGTTGCCAAATTTTTCCAAAAGGACCACTCTTTGGTGTAACTTTACGAGATCCATTTTTGACTCTCCTACCTCAAAAATTTTCTATATGCGCCTTTGCCGCCAATATTTTCTAAAGGCGCCCGCGCCGAAAAAACGCAATTTTTGGTCGAGTGTTCAAAACATTAAGCCTTTTTAGCCTGTTGAAAAAATATCGGTAAAACTTTCAAAGTTCGGAAAACTGACCCCCTCCCGAGAAAAATTTCTGCGCACGCACTGCATCTATAGGTTTATTATTTTAAAACCTATCATCGTACGCAAAATCACTCCAGCCATTAAACAATACCGCGCTATAAAACAAAAAAATGATAAATTTTTTAGAGACGGTCTTTCATCTTTTTACATAAAGGTACATTTTTTGCATCAAAATAAATGATGTATAGACACTGCATGTATGCGCCTATGGTTACGCTGTTTTGGTTTTATCATGTGCGATTTTGCTTCATAAATTATCGATTAATCTTCATTTTTTTCTTCAGTTTCCAATGAAACGAAAGATTCTACCTATCATTTTATAGCACTACTTCATCATGTCACTTTTCGGCCATCGAAAGTGAAGAAAAACAAGACTTTTTGTCTCTGCATAATAAATTTGTAGCAGAAAAAATTTCATTAAAAATCGAGTACTTTAAGAAAAAAGAGTGTATTTGTTGTGGTATTAAAATTACGTGCGTTTTGTTAGTTTGACCATGCTTCATATAAAAAGTACTTGAAGTTTATTATACGGCCATTCTTTGATCAAAAATTTTTTTAAGAGTTACGTTACAGTAGATTGTACCACGTTATCATGCCGAGAAAGTCCACGTGAAGTCTATGTGCGTTTATTAACAAAGTTAGCCTGAAAAACTAGCTCGACTGCGAAAATAGTAATTTATGATTTTATTTTAAATTTTTACGATTGTTAATTTACATTTTTGAATTATCGACGCTTTAATTGGACTTCAATTGCAAATCACTAGCTGTGCTTAGTTAGTTATAAATCTTAGAAAATAGTTATACGAAACGATTTGTGTAACGAAAACAAAATGGCGCCTCAGACGATAGCCGATTTGATTGACTTGTCATTGGGAAGTCCTGAGGTAAGAAACACAGTTGAATGATTTCATCATTTTTTGAATCGCTGCTACAAACAGGGTGGTTTTTATGTAATTAGATTGAAAAACTATAAATTATTCCAGCAATTTGATTTAACTGGCAATTTTCAAATTTAGCTAAGATTGAAGACATGAGAGGTGCCCTATTTTTTGTTTTTATATCAATAGTTTTTTATTACGCTAAACAAAAAAAAACAGAAAAAGTTCGAAAAAGAAATAAAATTAGAGGTTTTTTTTCTCAAACTATCATCAAATTTTTTTATATTTTTTTTTATCTCTGAGCTATTCTGGACTATTTGCACAGGAACGGTTTACTTGTGTTGTTCCAAATACTAAGAAAAATGAGGGTAAAATGAGGTATCATATCAAAACTCTTCGTCAAAAAAAATAAAAATAAAAGTGAAACAAGACTGCTTGTATCAGGGCGAAGCCCTGAATGTTCCGACTGCCTTTTAAGGTTTATTGAGCAGCAGTAATACAAAAAAAAAAATTAAATGAAATAAAATGAAATGAATTTGAAATTTTTTATGAAAATCATCCCCCCACACGCCATATAAAGTACAAAAAGATAGATTTCGTTCCTTGTAACAAATCAATTATGGCAAAAAAGCTTCGTTCAACCAATTTGGAACGATTTATAAGAAGGATTAAATCTCCGCTTACGCGTTAATAGCGCGAATTATATTGCGCGTTAGTTGTCCCAAATTGGTCAAAATGGCCAAAATGGCAATGTTTAAACCCTCATAACTTTAGGAAAAATGGTCACAGGACTCACAGGTGAAATATCTTTTCAAATTTGAGCTCAGGACAACAATACCTTTTGAATGATATAAAAAAATTCCGTCAAAAATGGCTAGTTAAAAAGTCGAAATTTGTCTGAAGAAAAAAAAACCCACCCCGAGCACAAGTATGCCGTTACTTTCGTATCGAAAGTCGGAACAATGAAGTGGAAACAAACTATGGCTGATTTTGACTACCAATAAAATATTGTAGCGGTCAAGGGTGGAATAGTTTCATAGTCGTTTCGACTGTGATTCTTTTTCCGCGCAAAGTCAAGCATCACAAATAAATTTTAGAATGAGTCTAACTATATATAAAATTACAAATTTTTCAATCACAATTTGGACGACAAAAGAATTGAGGAAAAGTTTTTCCGTGTCGTTAAAAACCAGTTTGAAATTTTTTGATATATAATCCAATTTCTTGCGAATAAATCGAGCGAGCAAGTTTATGGGGGGGGGGGGGGGTTTATTTAAGCCGTGAAAACTTGGTTTTATTCCAGAAAATTATGTTTCGAAGATTCTTCTAATGCCTCCTTGGAAAATGAAATTTATATAAAAAGTGGCAGTTCTGTTTTTCTATTTCGCAAAAAAAGTGTTGTCGACTTTGTCTAATTCGCTATTACCTCCGAATATGCCCAAAACCTATGACAAAAAACTACACAATTTGACAAAAAAAGAAACTGTAAAATATTATAATGGTGGTTGGAGCCTTTTGTGCTACTTGCACAACAACCGGCTATCCTTTGTTGTGTATAAATGGCGATGAAAAAGTTTTAATTGTATAATGACGGTTCTACTAATGACTCCTCCTTCATCTTAAGTTTATCTCGTCACTTTGCTGAGCAGGTGGGTGCTGTGAACTTCAACATCCTTCACTCTGTGCTGCACCAGCTGGTGAAGGAAGTGGGCTTGGGGGACAAAGCAGCCACACCCCCTGACCTGTCTCTCCTCAAGACTCCTTCTAAACAGACAGGGAAGGGTGGGGCACAAAATGAAACCCAAACTGTAGGTGGGTCGAAACGCATCTTGCAAGAAATTTTTTTTTTAATGATTTGTCAATTTTTAGTTTTCATATCAACAGTATGAAATAGACATTTGAGGTCGAAACAATATTTTTTTCAAATGCTTTGAGATGAGATAAAAAATGATGTAATCATATCTACTTTGCGTTTGTGTTAACCAAAATGCACAACGGAATTCATTCAAGGACGCATTAAAGCAGAAGTGTTTTGAAACGCAACTCTTTTTGTCTGTGAACATTGTTGGAGTCTTTTCCATTATAAGCCCCCAATAAGTTATATATCCCTCAAAACACAAAATACAAGGGGGTTCATACATTTTTTTTGTTACAAGATGGGGAGCTATAATGGGAAAGACCCCCTTTATTGTTTGTAGACGGTGGGCTTTAATGGGAATGGGAAAACCCCCTTTATTGTTTGCCTATTTTCTTCAGCCAAAGATGGGTCCGACAGCAGCTCTTCTTCTGTGCCGTATCATGCGATGTTGAAGCGCATCAACGAATTGGAGGGCAGACTAAGGGTACTCGACAATCCAGACCAGAAACAGGCAAGTATAAACATAGATGCTAAAAGGTGATCCACCCATCGTGGATTGGTAAATGAACTAATCTGCCAAAAATGCCGAATATTTTTTTCCATTTTCTGAGAAAATAAGAAATATATACGTGCCGAATTTATACGTGAGAGATCATCGTGGGATTCAACCAACTGACCAAGCAAAAGATCCCTCTGTTCCCTGTGATACCGTTTTACGAAATCGATTTTTGCTTGTTCAGCCCTTAGTTTTCCTTTCGGCGTCAACATTTCCTAAGAACTTTTTTGCGTTGTTTTTGTAAGAAAAAAGTAGAAAACTGCGGAAAAACTAATCAATGACTTCTTGGTTTGTTGTTGTTGTAGGTGAACGAGGACACTATGTTGCTGAAGGAGCACGGGGGCAAGGGGGTGAGGCCAGTGAGTGACATGTGGACACTCCTCCAGACCCAGAGGAGGTCACAGTCCAACGAAGAGATGATTACCAAGGTCAGGTCACAATCACCATTGTCACAATTATGACATCAGTTATTGCACACTTATGGCATCAGTTATTTTTATCCAGCCATAATTTATTTTTATTCTCTCATAGGAATTATCAAAAGTAACTGAAAATAATGAAGACTTTATTCAGCTCGTGAATTTGTAAATTTGAACTGAATTCTTAACCAAACACTATTTTTTTGGGTTATGGTTTTTTCATAATGAGTTTTTGAACGGAGCTCCTACTAAGCCATTCAAAAAAATGGATATAGCATTTTCAATTAATTATCTTGGAACTGCTCTAAATCATTAGTTTATTCTGCTTACAAATTTTTGATTACAACTATGCTAGCAAAAAAATCATTTCACAGCAACAAAAAAAAACAACAGAATTTTTGTTAAAATTGATCGTTTTTTTTTTTATGGGAGGTTCTGAAAATAAGCTTCAATTACTACCTATCGATATCTTACTCCTCTGTGAAAGTAAATATTTGCCTGAAATGACATTGCATTGCAAGTCAAGGAGTTTAGTGGCATTTTTTTGTCAATTTTAGTCTGAAACGAAAAAAACTCAAAATCTGATGTGTGATCAGTAAAGTTTGATACATCACTTTAACTATTTCACTAGTTTTTCTGCGTGGAAAAACGCTAGAATAAACAAGAACAGATAATTTTGGAATCGAGTTGATAAAAACTGCTATTCGTATATTTTTGGCTGAAGAAAAAAGGCTTGTCTTGCATTTTCATACAACTCCAAAGAAAAAAAAACAACACTGTAAAATACGAGAATTTCAAGATTTTTCCCCTTAATTGAGTTTTCACTATAACACAATTTTTTGATAGTAACAAAAACAAAAACAAAAACGATTTCTGTGTTTTGCTAAGTATGTTTTTTGCAATAAATCACAAAAATAAAATTTTTCTCAAATGAAAAGAAAATCTTTACGGCTTCTAAATCTACTCAATAAGAACGAGCGGTACGCCAGCGTTGATCCGCTCAATAATTCTGGCAGTTTTTTTCAAGAGGTGAAAAAGTGCTCACAAAATTTTGTTGAAGGACTTCACCTACAAATTGATCTAACCTTGATCTTAACTTAGGAGCTGCTGAATTGTGAAAACCAAAAACTCAATTTAGTGTTTGGATTTTACATTTCATGTTGCTACTTGAGAAGGAAAGCAAAAAATACATAACAAAGAAGATAAACATCATGAAAACTTTTCGTTACGTTAAAGCCATGGTTTTCCTTTCGAACTAAACGAAGATCTGAACTTTTTCATAAAAAGATTAATTATTCTCTTCCGGACTTTAAATGAGTTTGAAAGAGTCAAAAGAGCTCAAAATGGCAAAACAAACTAAATAGAATCACAAAAAAGTACACTTTATAAAATGAAAAAGATCGTTTATTTAGTTTTTTGCTTTTGAGAGTTTCCACTGAAGCCAACACAAAAAATGAAAAATGTAATCGGCAAAAAATTGCAAATCTAATTGCTTTTTAGAGTGTTCCAATTGAAGTAAGCAGTTCAATGTCATAAACCGTTTTATTTTAACGAAAAAATTAATTTTTGTGTGTGGCGTTGAAGATTTTTTCCAAGAAATTTGTGGTTGACATTTGTGTTTGGTTTTTGGACAAATCAGTGTTTATATTATCATCTAAAAATGAAAGTGAACAATTTTGAATTCCCAAGAAATTTTCAACGTGAATCTTACTTTTTTCTATTTTGAAAAGTTATTTTTTTTCAGAGCATACAACTGCTTGAGCGACTAACATGAAAACTAAAAATTGTTTCTCACTCAAGTTTCATAGATGGAAATAACTTGATAAGCATAATTTTTGTGCATTGGAAAATCATGTTTTTCAGAAACGACGTGCTTTTTTTAAAAAAAAAGACGGCAATAAAATGTTCATCACTAAATAATCACAGTTCGATGGATTTACGAAAAATCTGAAGCAGTTAAAGAGATCTAAGATGACATTGGAAGATGAATATAGGTAGGTTGAAGCTAAGCATAAAACAAAATCCAAACTTCAATTCTTAAGTGAACAGAAAAATGTTAAATTTTAGTTTTTTCAATCAGGGAGAGTCTAAATAACAAAAAGTCAAACAAATGTAATTGAATCAAAATTTCAACGACCGTAACATCAACGGTTGGCCTTTTTTGAAATGATTCCGGCTTTATTGTTGAAACAGACAAATGGCCACCTCGATGTTGATCTCAACTATCAATCCTAGTCACTTGGCACTTAGGAATCGAAATGAATCAACCTCAGCTACTATTGTAATTTCAAAAAGGCAACTAGTATCGACCAATTAGATTATTTTTGCTCTACACTAGCAATCCCTAGACTTCTGTTCTACAAAGCTGACAATCACGAAACAATAGGTTTTTTCAACAAAAAACTTTTTTGCTAGTTTGCTCCGAGTACCAAAATTACTTCGAAATTGAACCAAGGTATCTTGACACGCGTAGCAAACTAGCAAAATAAATTTGAATATAAGTTACACCATAAGACGCAAATTGAAATTTTTTTGCGGTTAATGATTTTGTGGAACAAAAATTTAAGGATTTCAATCGGATTGTTTGACACTAATTGACCTTATAACAGCAGCTGAGGCTCACTTCAAGTAATTTTCTAAAAAATGATATTAAAGGAGTTCATTTTGAAAAATGCTAGCTGTTGAAAAATCTTTCCGATTATATTACTCAATTCACATGGCGTTTTTGATAGCCTTATGTTGGTTGTGAAAGAAAAAAATCAAAAAATACAAAATCAATCGAATATTAATTCTCTTTCTTTCTGCTGGTCGGAACTAAATTTTCCTAAAACGGGTGTTTTTTTATAAAACTCACCTAGAATTTTGGAGTAAAAGGTAAGAAAAAAGAATAAACACCAGACAAATTGGAAGAGGAAGCAAATTTTGGAGAAGGACTTTGATGAACTCTGCAACAAACTCAAATTCGAAAAAAAATAAACAATATTCTTTATAACGTTAAAAAAATGTATACTGTTAAAAATGTGTATACCGTTAAAAAATGTTCTGGTTCACGTTTTCAGCTAGAAGGAAATTTTTCAGGAAATTTTTCTACCGAATCAGCAGAAAGTTTTACTTCCGGAAAATTTTGCTACCGAAAAATAGCAGGAAGTTTTCTATCACTGCTTCACTTTTTGGTAGTGCGGGGAGATTTAATTCTTTTGGTAATATCAGAGATATCGGAAAAAATAAAGCTCATTGTAAGACTTTGACATAACGTTTAATCTGCCCCCTCGCAAAAACCCGAACTGCACGTCTAATTAGTTACATAAAAACCAAAGTTTCTCGTGTATTTTAGAATCACAGTATATTCGCCAATTCTTGTGTTAAAATGAGGTTTTATATTTGGTCACCACTGTATGAACTTAAAAGGGTTATCTCGAAACGGATGTTGTGTGCTTCAGTTATCTTCTATGATGGAAGATCTTCTGTCTGCCCATCAGAAGGCAAAGGCAGACAACGACCAACTCAAGGCCAAGATCAACCAGTTCAACTCACTCGTTGAGCAGGTAAATATTAACCATTCTCTTCAAATTAAGATTGGACACAAGCCTTTCTGAATTTGCCACACACTTTTTGCCACGAATTTTTTGCACTCAGCTGAATTTTCTCTGTTTAAAACGTTAAAAAGACTAGAAAACTTTTAAAACAAAGCTAAAATAACACTGTGTTACTGAACAAGCCAGCCTTGGACAATGTTTGTTACTGAATGCTTGCCTGGTAAAAAAGTACTACTCAAACTTTCAAGTAGTTTCGATTAACTTTTTGAGGTTTTTATAAACATCGGCAGTTTTTTTTCGAACTAACATGTTTGTGGTGAAACGATGAACTCGTATACTGAAATAAACTGTTAGTTAAATTAAATTTAAAAAAAAATAGCTTGTTGTTGTTTTTTTAGCTGATCAAGACGAGTGATGAGTTGAAAGCAAGAGTGGACGAACTGGAGAGTAAGGAGAGGGGGGACAGGGAAGACATTGACAAACTGAAGGAGCGCATGCAGAGTGCACACGACAACCTGGTCAGTAAGCCGACACATATTTAATCTCACAATACTTAACATCACTTTTGATTGGAGACAAGACGACAACTCACTTATGTGCAACTGACTAACTTACATTCAAATTACATTACTAATTATTCATAATAGTCAATCAGAATTACTAACTTATAATAAGTATGTAATTTAGACGCGAATCAACAGTAGACTGGAAGGGGTGCCCACTGATTTTTCTGTGTTTGCCCTGAAGAAGGAGGTGGATGAAAAGTACTCCACCAAAGACGAACTGGACAAAGAGATGATGAAGATGATGGCAAGGAACTTATAGTTTACTGATGATTATTTGATCGGATTTGAAGCGCAGTTGTGCTCTTTGATATTGTGGTTGCTAGTTGCCCTTTGGCGATTTCTATTGAAAATAGTCTCTAAGATCAATAAGATACTTCAATTAGGTGGCTTTTTGTCTTTTCTGGTACTTTTAATTGGATCAAAACGTTTTTCAAACGGTTTATACAATTTTAAATTGGTAAAATATTTTAGATAAATTTTAAATTTTTTCATCGGTATTTAATTAATTAATTGGTTAATTAATTATATGTTTAATTGGTCATGTACTAATCTACAGGCACTACTGGATAAGAAGGCGAGTGAGGCTGACATGTTGGAGGTGAAGGAGAAACTGAGTAACATTCCGAGTGACTTGATGGACCAGCTGGACCAGATGGCCAAGAATATGGAGTCTCTCAGACTGGACAGAGACAGCGTCAGTGCTTTTCAAATACACTTTTTAAAAAAAAAATGCCACCTTTGGGGAAAGTTGGTTAGTTTTTTTTTTTAAAAAAACGACCTCTTTTGAAAAATTTTTCCATTTTTTGAAAGTTTGGCATCAGTTTCACCCAAAGGTTATCAACCTTTCGAGTCACCCGAAATGGCGCGAAAATTGTGCGATTGTTTTGTCATTCAAAAGTGATTGTTTTGTAACTGAAAGTAATGGAGTGATGTATAATTCAAAGCAGACACACCTCAATTTTATCCTCATTGCAGTTTTACTATATACTATACTGCTTTATGTTGCATGGGTTACACTGTTTATGATTTTAAATATATCAAAAATTATCTCGATTTTTTGAACAATTTTATGTCCAGTGAAATTAGTAAGCAAAGTTGAAAAAAAAATGGATTGCAGGCGTTTTTGCTGACGGTATGTATTTAGAACAGTTCTGATTTATGTGAAATGGGCACCTTTCTACTTCTGACACTGTAGCGGACAATAAAACTGCAGTCTTATTGAATAAAATTTTATTGTAAAAACCGATTAATTGTCAATGAATTAGGTAAAAACACTTATTTAGTTTCCATTTTTCATTTTTTCCATTAAAATCCATAAATTTGTTCACGTCATATTTTCAATTTAGCGGTTCGACTTTTGATTTTGATTCAAGTTCACATCAAATATATGCGCTAAAGAGGACGCAATTGCTCAACCAAATAGCAAAGTTCAAAATGGCGCGAATGAATGCCATTCATTGACTTTTAGTTTTAAAAGTGAATACATGCTGATTTATTTTAGTCTGACAAAATGGACAACATTGGAAATTTCAAACCCGCTTTTCTTCAATTGGATTAAAGTTACACAAAAAAGAGTACAAAAGTTGTTTAGAATATTTCACCAGAATTATTCTGAAGCATTTTTTTCTCAAAAAATATTAATCAAAATTTTACCCCAAAATAGGACATTTTGGCTTTTGTTATTAATTAAAAGTTACGCTGAAACTATTTTGTTGAATGATGAGAAAAAAATTTAATGTCAAAAGAAGCTTTTTACACACTCAACGAAGTTCTGGTGTTAAAAATTTGCGCAAATATAGAAAATTTGTTTTTAAGCAAATATTTTGGGTTTCAAATTGTAAAATCACATTTCTTGATTATCCAGCAAAATTTTTTTGCAAAAGTACCTTATACAAATTTTTTGGAGATTTGACTTTCGTATAACTTTATCAGGCTGTGTAAAAGGCTTCTTTTGATAAAATTTTCTCATCAACTATCAAAGTAGCTTCAGAGTTATTCTTGAATAATTAAGAAAAAGCCAAAAAAAACTCATTTTTGGGTTAAAACTTGGTTGAGAATTTTGTGGAAAAAAATTGTATTATACTAACATTGGTGTTATTCTAGGCAATTTTGATGTTTTGCTCAATTTTTTGTCTCAACTTGTTCCAATTTGAGAAAACGCGTTTGAAATAGCAACATCTGTTCCTTAAACCAGTTAAACTAAATCATCACTGTATGGTGCTGATTTAAAATATCAAATTGTCAAAATCAAAAAAATTTAACCTGTTGCTGTGCAAAATGCAAAAGTTTTTATGACCACAATTTTTGATGCTAGATTGTTAAGTACTGTTAAAAATAAATGATGAAAAAACAGAATGACCAAGTAAGATTGGAAATGATTTAATTCGAAACTTTGGTCTCGATTTTTAAGTGTTTTTTTTTTAGAAATAGTTAAGACTGAATATAATTTTTAATAAAACATTGGTAAAAACAGACTCTTTTTTTTCAATTGGCAGAACAAACCTGCTGAAATACAAAACTTATTTGAAAATTTTTGTTCAAAAAAGCCATCGCACGCCAGAGTCAACTCACACTAGTTGAGTGGTCGAAACAACTGTAGAAACACCCTGTCTTTACAGAAATCTTTTTTTTCCATTTTGCCGAAGGATTTAAGTTGAAAAATTGCTCCATAAACAATCAAGGAACGTATATGAAAATTCAAGGGTTTTTCAAAAAAATGGAACAGAGAAACAACATTGTAGAAGCTATGCTAGAAGCATTTTTCAAACTTTTTGCTCAATTTTTTTGATTGAATCACTAGATAATTTTGATGAGATTATTTTTGAAAACTTTTCCTTAACAGAATCAAAAACCTTTCAAATACCAAGGGTTAAAAACTCAAAAAATCGTTTAACGATGACACAAAAACATATAGCTATAATATTATATAAATGTATAATAAACTAAAAACACTTCGTATATAACCCATTATAACCGTTTAAAATGGAATGTTTTGCTCTATAAACAGTTTGAAAGCAGGTTTGAATTTTAGATACACAAACTAAAAAAGTCCAAAATAATCGATTGTTACCCCAGAAGTTTTATTGCGGGTGGGCTTTAGTTTTTTATTGTAAATCTTTCAAAAAAGTTGATAAAAATTTGATCTCCGGAACTTGATGTTGTATGATCTATTATAATGAAACTCAAATTGCATGTGCTGTTATAGTTTCATGGAAAACAATTGGCATTCGCGAATTATATTTTTTGAAAAGCTATCATAAGATTTTAAAAAAATTGTGTTTTTTCGCTAAACAGTCAAATATGAAATTCTCAGCGATGTTTATCAATCTTCACCGCTGAGGGTTTGTTTTCAGCATGCAAATTTTTTCCCGAAAGAAATTCACAGAAGAGTCGTCGAGATAATGCGAGAAATTTTGAAGTTAGCTACAGTTGATATTTATGTGTATAAACTAAGCAATTTAGATTATTAAACAAATTCATGTTCAAAAATTTTGTTAAACTATGCAAATCTGCATATTTTTTAAATTATTTTTAGTCGTTTCCAGCCAAGGCTACATGGAAGCTTTTCCCAATTTCAGTTTTTGTGATATTATTTCAATTTCGTGTTTTCGATTTAAATAAGACGTCCATGTTATCATCAACATTTCTAAAAACTGTTCTAAAAACTAAGATAGAACATTTCTAAAAACTAAGATAGAAAACAAGAGCATGCTGTGTGTGTGGGGGGGGGGGGGGGGGGTTGCAATTTTGTGTGAAATGCGCGTGTGAAATGTGTTTGTTGGTGGTGTGTGTAGGATGCAGATACCATCGCCTCCCTTCAGACAAGTTTGGACGCCATGCAAAACGAGGTCGACAAAATACAGGCGAAGTGTCAGTTTTTGATGGACGAGGGAAAATCCACACGTAACAGTGTCATTGTGAGTGCGACTGTTCTATTCGAAAAGTAAATGACATACTTCTGTTATTTTAGATTCAATCTCTGCTCAAGGTAAAGTATGGCAAAGTAGTGTTAAGGCGTGTGCTTTGTTTTCAAAAAAGATTTGATATTATGGATATATTATTCGAGTTTTCTTTCATCTTGGCACAGCTTGAAAGAAACCGAACAAGAATACTTAATTTAGGAAAAGAGCATTCAAAATCCTAAATAGTTTCCCAAATTGGGTTATGAAGTTTGATAATGAAACAAATGCTAACAACACTTACGAAATACAAACACCGTTTCAAGAAGAAATAAAGATGTTCTGGTCCAGCTAAATCGACCAAAAAGCCCTGCTTTTATGTTAATGTGTAAGTTTTGGCACCTTTGGTAAAAATCATCCTTGAAGATGATTTTACCCTCACATTTGACTTTTGAACGTATTTCACAGTTTTGACCTGACTTTTCATTCACTATGATTGAAACTCAAATCACCTTTTGACCTCTTCACCTCAAGACGTGCATCAGGTCAAACTATAGTGACCTTTGTGAGCTAGGTATGAATCGGAGGTGTTTGACTTCACTATCTCTATTATGAGTTTATTAGATGCACTTGAATGAACTTGACTTTTTCTCCTATTGACCTTGATATGTGTTAGGACCTGGATGCGAGAGTGCAGACCCTGGACATGATCAAAGCCGACAAGGAAACCATTCAAATCGAGATCGACCTGGTTTGTTTATTACCTGTACACTCCGTATTTATCTGTCATTTGATTATATAAAGTTGACATTTTTAAATTAAGCATTAAATTTTGGATTTAGGATTATATCAAAAATGAAGCGAGGTGAAAAAAAAATGAAAAACCGCCAAAACTATTCATTTTCTAACGCTTAGGAGAAATCAAAACGCCATAAACTCGAAAAAAAAAATTCCCGGGCGTTTCATTCAAAAAGGCTCATCTCGTTTCTACATCATCCGAAGGCTTTTACAGAATTGTAAAGATTGAGACCAGGGGTGTTTAGTTTTGCTGTTTTTCAAAATAAACTGAAAAGCAACCTTTTAATGGAAACCATCATGCACGTGGTGGAAAACTTTAAATTCGAAAAATAATGTAGCACTGCGAAAAAAAGGCAATTGAATTCAAAAACGAACAAATTACAATCAAATTTATCCTGCTGTACCAATTATGACTTATGTATTGGGTATGTTTAGAAAGCGGACAAGCGGGCTCTGGATAGCAAGATAGGCCGCACACTGTTTGACGAGAAGACGGGAGAGATAGACGAGGAGATAGGCACACTCAAGTTCAAACTGGGCGGAGCTGTGAGTCATAATCATGAACAACATCATCGCTCATTTTTCGTTCATTTTTTGTTCACACCAAATTGAGATTTTAAAGGTTCCAATAATTTTTTCAATGAGCCGATATGGAAATTTTTGACAAGAAGATGACAAACTTGTTAAAGTGTCATGTTAACGTGTCTTATAACAACCCAGTTTAAAAACCCTATTATTGTCGACATTTTTTTTTAAATATAGCGAGAACATAAATTAGTTCTCTTAAAAATGTTTAGTTTTTGTATATTAACAGGAGGAAGACTACAAGAAAGCTCTTGATGAGTTGCTGAAAAAATTGGATGCAAAATTGGACAAGGACGAACTGGGACCCCTCAAAGAGTGGCTGGAGAACAAACTCAAGGGTGAGTTGAACAACCTAAGTTGACCTTGAACCCAGAAATTTCAAGGCATCCCCCAGTTGACCTGAGTAGCCAACACTTTTGTAATTTTCTTTTTGTGAAAAAAAAATTTCTCTGCATCCAAAACTACCTGAGTTTGGCATTCTGCCTGAGGGCTGGAATAAAAACTCTTCGTATAAAAGTTGTCTTTGCTTTTGTACTACTTTAACACATTCATTCCTAATCATGTGTTTGAAATTCTTTCCTCGGGGGATCAAATGACTCGATCTTAGGAACACAAACAATTTTTTTATCGAAGGTCAATTCAAACTATGAAAACAGTTGAAGATGAGGCTTTTCTTATCAAAAGAGAGTCATCAAGGCTGCCTCTGCATTAGGTCTGAAGCCGAAACTGATCAAGCAGGAGTACAGATTAGACGGCAACATGGAATTGGACGACGCAGCCGGATTCAGGAAGTCAGTTTTTTTTCATGTGTTCCAAAAGTTACGAACAAATGGCCAGACAAATTAATTTTTCATCAAAATACTCGCTTTTTTTTAAAGTAGCAACTAGTCAAGCATTACTATGTGAACTTACAGAAAATTTCCGTCAAAAAGAAGAACGCAGTTTAACTTTTTTTACAGCTAAAATTAATGTTTATTACTTTTCAAATGATTTTTTTTTCAATTTCGTGCCCTTTACCTCACAAAAATAGTTTTTAGCAGTGTTCCCTGCTAAACCCGTACAGTCATTGCAGATGTCTTTCAGATCCTCAACGTACTTCTGTCTGAGTTGTGACAAAAAAGTGCGCCTTAATACCCAGTAAGTCATGCTCCCTTAAGTGCATGTCGTGACTCACGTTCAAATTTTGTGTTTAGACCCCTCAATAAAGTGTTCTGTATCTCATGCGATAGAGCATTGGATGTCGCACCAGCGTAGTAAGATATAATAATAAAAAACACTAACAGCCTTATGAGCCAAAAACACTCACTGAACATTTTTTAACCTAGCTGAAAAAATGTGAAAACTTAAATAACTACTAATAGAAAAACAGACAAAAAGTAACTCATTGCCCTCAAGAGTTTCTCTTGATATGATCCTGGTTTCACGTACCATCAGACCGATTCTTAGAGAGAGAGAGAGAGAGAGAGAGAGAGAGAGAGAGAGAGAGAGAGATATTCAGCGGGGTTACTTTAAAACAGGAGGTAAAACAACTTACTCAAAAAACTTGACTACTGATTTTTTTTTCATATAATACCACTAGTTCATTTACTGTTCGACAAATTCCTAGAGCTGGAAGTTCTAAACTCCTCAAGGTAAAATATGCGGCGAGATTTGTTAATTCTCGAATTAAAGATTGCAACTCAGAAATAGGCTTATTAATTTGGAACTTAATTGCCTAATCACTTCTACAGAAAAAAAATTAAGACAAAATCAGTTGGTCGTATATTTTCTTACTTTTATTTTATCTAAGTTAACTTCATTTCTTTTGCTAAAAGGAAGGCAAACTCCACTATTGATCAACAAAATTTTACAAGTCACGAAAAACGTGATCGAATTCTAATTTTAAATAGAAATTTAATTATCAGATTTTCCAGCGAAATATAAACTTCACTTTTTGAACAAATTTTCTCAAATTGGGTTGATTTTATTGGTAAAGCACCAAAATTAAATTGTTCGCGAAATTCAAAGAGCTTTAGGGGCATTTATTGTTCCGACTTTCGATACGAAAGTAACGGAATATTTGTGCTCGGGGTGGGTTTTTTTTTTCTTCAGACAAATTTCGACTTTTTAACTGGCCATTTTTGACGGAATTTTTTTTATATCATTCAAAAGGTATTGTTGTCTTGAGCTTAAATTTGAAAAAATATTTCACCTGTGGTCATTTTTCGTAAAGTAATGAGGGTTTAAAGGTTGCTATTTTGGTCATTTTGACCAATTTGGGACAATTAACGCGCGATATAATTCGCGCTATTAACGCGTAAGCGGAGATTTAATCCGTCTTATAAATCGTTCCAAATTGGTTGAACGAAGCTTATATGCCATAATTGATTTGTTACAAGGAACGAAAACTATCTTTTTGTACTTTATATGGCGTGTGGGGGATGATTTTCATAAAAAATTTCAAATTTTAGGAAAAAATTTTTCGTTTTATTTTTTTCATATAATGTTTTTATGTTATTACTGCTGCTCCATAAACCTTCAAAAGCAGTCGGAACATTCAGGGCTTCGCCCTGATACGAGCAGTCTTGTTTTTCATTTGAAATTCGAAACTCTTTCTTGCATTCGCTACTCTATTCCAATTGTCAGTTGGCTTTTTTCAAAGCTTACAATTGAAGAAACTTCAAAAGCTTTTTCGATGTTTTGGACCTTACACCGGTGATTACGCCGGTCCATTACTTGAGTGCATTATTGCTCCAAAATACGAATCAATTTTTTTCGTAATAAATCATATATTTCATAAATCATCAATCGTAAACCAAACACGGAATCTTCATAACTTCACGACAAAGATACATGCATGGTGTTATGGGTTCTCTTCTCTTGTTCATTGATCTTTGATGATGATTGTTTTAGCTTTAATAGTTTTTAATTTCGTTTAACTAATAAACCAGTTTCTCCTTGTTTTTTGCAGGCTGCGGGTGGGGGCTCCTTGGTTGCCAAGTGCAATCCCACTTAACAATAAGGACAAGTGAGAACAGCATGGGGTTGATGTTGATGTTCATTATAATGGGCGTGAGAAAGAGGAGGGGGGGGGCTTCGTAGTTTTCGTGTTTTGCGCTGTTTTAATTGAAAGCGTTGATTGAAAGGCTTGTTTTAGCTTTAGATTTCTCTCCCAGGTGAAGCAGAGCCAATAAAGCAAGTTAACATCCTCCCCCTTCCGCCCCTCCCTCCAGAGCCGTTTGCGGAAAGGATGTTCATTTGGTTCTGAGTTCGAATTTTTAGTCATTCAGAATCTTGCATTTTATATCCATCATATTTAACAATTTAGCAAATTTAATTCACGTTGAACTCTGGGGTGGATGATCTTTGATTTTAACTTGAATACTATTTGAGGGGGGAGGGGGTGGGGAGGATGTTAATTTGATCGAAAATTTTTCACCATCGGTTTGACCCAATCCCACGTTTTACAACAAATTTTGGCTAAAATCAAACTTTATCGAACGAATGTTTGATCTGTTTTTTTTTTCATAGAATTTCTTCTCGGTCTGTTTCATTCGTATCTCAATTTACTAAACCAAGACTCTGATTTAACTTCTGATTGTTGACATTGATTGACAGCTGTCTTACCAATTCACCAACCCACCGTGTGCTGTGTTTCAGCCCTGTGCCGACATTTCCCTCCTACAATCCCCTGCCTCCCAGTCGATCGGCCAGACCTTACACTACCTATGAACTGGATCAGATCAGACAGGCTCAAAGACTGTAAGTAATCCACCTAAAATATGAATTTTATTTTAAAACTTCATCACATTAATTCTTGCACACTAACCAAAAATGAACGAATCTGAAAAATTGAAAATTCCATTTCCATTACAAAATAACCCTAAGGAAACAATATAAATATTTTATTCTTTTAGTACAGACAATTTATTTAATCTGTTCGTTTTATAAGATATTTTTACATTTTTTAAAAATACAGTGTGATAAATTTTATCTTATTATTAACCTGAATGATTACTAACTGCCTATTGTTTGTTTCGCTGCTGCCAACTGAAGGTTAGAAAAGTTGGAGGAGTATTGTGGTTGTGAGCAGCCAAGTGTGCGCAACAACATCAGTCTCAATAAAAGACCCAAGTCGGCCAGAAACACTGTGCCCCCCACTTGCCAGTCCCCCTCCCCCGGCTGTCCCCAATCCCCCTTGCCCCCTTACAGGGAGGACAGGTAACCGTATAGACCCAGTAGATGTCCCAGTACCTGATTAAATTTGAGATGAAATATTTCAACAAAGCTGAAGAACCGATAAGCACGCTAGCCGATTGAGCACAGAAAATTTACTTCTTCTCCCTTATATTTCATCCATTCAGTTTTTCAGAGGGAAGAAATTGTAATTGGAATTCGAAAATTAGTTATTATATAGTTTTTTGAAACATGTTAAAATAATCGTAACTCAATCGTAATGAATTATTGTTCCGACCATTGAAAATGAGGAGGAATTTTGTATTCGGGTGTATTGTAGTTTTTTAAATCTTTTTTTTTTGTTTTCCACGCAAAATCACGTACCTCAAAAAATTATTGGAAAAGATCGAGTGATATATCATATTAAAATCCTTTTAAAATGATATCCCTAAACTGCGTAGCGTGTTGAGGAATAAAAGTAAGAAAAGATACTGTTAATTTACTGTTCTTGATTTTGTCTTTTAATGAAGTTAGTAGCTGAGATTGGTTACTGTTTTTTAGCAGGAGATATAAAACACTGACCAATTCAACCTTAACGTTTTAACAACATCAAATGGCCTTGACCACTCTTATATAATAATAACATAATGAATATAGTTAGCACATTTGGTTACTGCAGATGCAGTAGCTAGCAAACTGTCCTCAAGGTTATGTACTGCGGATGCTGCAATACCACATTCCCCCAGGGACCAAATAAAATTTTATCTAATACATATAAAATTTTATAAATAACAATACTATGAGTTTTCAGCTCAGTTTTCGTGGTGCCATTGATGCATGAATGTTCTATTTTGAGTTTTAACTATAATTTTTTCTTTTCCATTTCTTTCTTCTTAATTTCTAACGGCACTTTCCACTGCGTGCTCCACGGTTGTGTCGTATCCAAAGCGGCATACCCAAACTTCCTGCGAAATAAATGGCGTTCTAGAAGCTTCAGTCGGGTTTCCATCGGATTGTTCTTGTCCGTTTTGACATTCGCTAATCCGGATCGGTACTGCTCTAGGGCCATTTCGTTAACGTCTGCATCGTCGTCCGAGCTACTGAATTTAACCGAATGTTTGACGGGGCTGCCCAGTCTTTTAGTGTTCGCCTGTCGTCTCTGTTTGATCTTCCATTCTGGATTTAATAATTTTGTCCGCAGTTCTTTGCAGACCTCTAGTCGGCACTTGATCGGCGAGGCTTTGCCATTCTTTGTCTCCCATATCTTGTTTTTGGAACGCATTCAAGATTGAGCTAGGTGACGTGTCCCTTGTTATGCGCTTCCTAGAGTGTTCACTTTTGGTGCGCGAACTGCCTGCACGATCAGCTTGATCCCCATCTGAATGTTTTGGATTACTAACTTCTTCTGCTGCTACAGCAGCTTTCTTTTTTTCTTTGCCCTTGTTTTTAAGTGTTTGATCTGTTTTATCTCGCGATTCCCCTACCGGGTTTAGCGCCACCTGTTCTTGTGTTTTCAGTCCCACTGTCTTTGGACCCCCGAGGTTCGGCTTTGCTCGCTTTATTGCTAGGTTGAGTCCCCCACCAACCGGTGTGTCCCGCGATGTTACGACAGTCTCGCTGTCTTGAAACAGGTCTTTTGCCTGTTCCCTCGATATAGTCCAGTCCTCCTCTTCCGATATCGTGTCCTCCAATAGCTCGTCATCTTTCTTCTGGTGTTTGCTCTTTGGCTCCTCTAGTGGACTTTTTGCCTTCTCCTTTTGATTTGTCCCCTCCTTGGGTGTCTTCGTAGGGGAACTCGGTAACTTCACCAGGTCACTTTTCCTGTATACTGCTCTTGAAAGGTTTTCTCAGCGCTGTGTCACTTTTTCTCGTCTCATCTCTGCGACTGAGGTTGTGGCTGTTCCACTCCGACCCCTTTGGTTTGTCCTCAACAAATCCCTTTTCCCATGAGTAAAGTAGCTCCTTTCGCAGCTCAGGGTCGATTGTACTCGTGGTGTCCACTAATTGCGAGAGGCTGGGTCCGTCGTATCTACGCCGCTCTGCGTTCCAGTTAGCGTTAGCCTCCAACAGGTTCCGCAGAGTTCTTGCTCTGTTTCTTTCCTGAGTTGTCATACTGGCTTGTTTGAAGAGGGGACTGACCTCCCTGCTTTTCTGCCCTTTTTTGACAATCTTTAGGGAATCCCGAGATTGGTCAATCCTCTTCTTGAGTTGGCTTGCAGTAAGGGCCGACCTCTCCAGATGCTGCTTATCTAAATTATCAGAGAATTCTACAAATTTATCTCGTATAATTTTAAATTCCGTTTTTGGTAATCTACCAAAATATGCTTCAAACGGTGATTTCTGTATGGTTTTCTGTTTTATCCACCGCATGTCCCTAATGATCGTACTGAGACATAGTTTAATAGACTTTACATTTTCTTCCAGTAACATCACCCCAAGCGCCTTTTTATAGTTTGAATTGTTCTCTCGACTAAACCACACCCGCGATGGTCGCCCACCGGACAGAACTTTTGTTCTATATTATTTTCGAGACAGAATTTTTTCATGGCTTTTCCTTTGAATCCGGAAAATTGGTCGGTTTTTATCGATTCTGGGATACCGTGTGTATCTATGTACGACCGTAGAAATTTTATAGTGGATTTTCCCACCGTTGATTTTGTTACTTTCACCGAAGGAAACTTCGAAAACCGATCAATCGCTGTCAGCAGGTAGATTTTCTTTCCTTTATAGTCTTCTAAAGGTCCCGCGTAATCTAACTGAACTTCCTGCCCTGGCTGCGATAGCAGTGGCAGTGGTTGTGAAGAATTTTTTGGTATAAAGTATTTTGCATTCTTACCATAACGTGTACATTTTCTACACTCCTCCGCTAGGTTTACGATATCCTTGTGCATGTGGGGCCACCACAAATAGTTTGACACGTCAATCATTGCCTCTTGCCCCGGATGTCCTCTATGAATGCGCTTCATTACTGCTTGACGCAGTTGAGCTGGTACTGCTATCCTATTGTCTACCAGAATGCAGTCATCGACTACTGAGAGTTGATTCCACAGCGGATTAGTGTATGGGCCCATGAGTTCAAATCCTGCCCGATCCTTCCTCTCTTTTACGCGACGTAATCGGTCCATCCACACATCCTCCGAAATGAGTTCAGCCAACAGCGTTTTATCGAATAGTTTCGATAAACTGAAACTCTCGACATCTCCGATGTCTGCCACTGAGCTTTCCAACTGCGCTTGCCGTTTGTTGATCCTTCCCGAAGGTTGGACTTCGCTGACTTCTGGACCTAGATCGTCATCCTCCGCTGTTAGATCCACTTCTATGATTGATTTCGTTGGTGAGCTTCTTGGGCTGCTCGTGACCATCTGAGTGATCGCCTCTAGCTCTTTGATGTTTCCCGGCATCTCCTGATCTTTGCTGACCAGATCCCAAATGGATAGCAAGTTTTTTTGTTTCTTCGGCATCTTGATCCCATATTACTGGTCGTGCAGCACAGCTGTCTTCCTCAAAGCTGTCTGACCCCGCTCTATCTAGTGTTCCTCTTCTAATCCGACATGTTCGATGGAAGGTAGTCTCGGTTATTTCTGCTGCCGTTAATTGATCGCTCTCCTCCTGTGTCCTACAGTCTTCGATTCTCACTGTCTTTTTCTTCATTTTTCCGTCCTCCATTTCTTCTGAGTTTATGTTTCTGTTTTTGACTAAATTGACCGACTGAACTGCTCTATTAAAATTGACAAGAGTGTTCTGATTCAACACGTAATTGATAGGCAAAAAATTTGAATTGCCACAGTTCTCGTTCCGGTCGAGCTTTGTTCGGTTTTTGACAGTTTTGTTGCTATGGCAACCACGCCTGGATTTTAGCAAATTATCTTCTCTTTTCTGTTTTTGAGAATATTCTAGAACTTTCTCACTCTGAATTGTTACATCAGTATCATTCAGTCGACTGTATAAACAGTCGAGTGCTCTATGAAAGCACTCAATCGAAGTGACCACAAATTTTTCATCCAATTTGGTTTCTGGCCAAGGTTCTCCGGTTGGTTCTCTAGATAGATAATCTACTATCCCCATATCCTTCCCTGGAATATGGACAATTTTGAATTGATAAGGCAGTAATCTATCCACCCACCTCGTTAATCGGGATTGATATGTTTTGTTAGACCTGTTGCCTTCTAAGGCAGATGTTAATGCCTTATGATCAGTGACTATTACAAATTCTTTTCCTAATAAGTAATGTTTGAAACGATCAACTGCCCACACTACCGCTAACAGTTCAAGCTCATTAGTAGAATACCTTTTTTCTTGATTATTCAGGTAGCGCAACGCAAATGAAATTGGAATCCATTCGTTCTTTTCCGTTTGTTGCTCTAAGGATGCCCCTAGTCCACTGTGGCTTGCATCACACTTGACCCGAGTATCCCTATTCGGGTCATAATAATTCAGTTTAGCAATGTTTGCTACCACTTATTTGATTTCCTCGAACACCTCAGTATGTTCGGGTCCCCATTCAAATTTTTTTTACTGGGATTTTAATGTTTTTCAATTTTTTCTTTTCATTTTCCTCACGCAATAATGGTCTAAGCTTGTCTGTCAAATTGGCTGCATTCGGTATAAACTTCGCGAGGTGATTAATAGTACCTAGAAAGGATCTAAGTTGTTTGAGCGACTTTGGATGCTCTAACTTAAGGATAGCCTCTGTTTTCGTAATTTTCGGGGTAATCCCACTTTCTGAAAGTTTATGTCCAAGCCAATTTACTTCTGTTTTGAAGAAATCACATTTTGACAGCTTTAGAGATAAGGTTTCCTTATCTAGCTTCATTAGAACGTCCGTAATTAGTTTTTCATGTTCTAGCTCCGATCCCTTTGAGACAATCAGTATGTCGTCCAAGAAACAAAACGTACTCTTGGAATGATTTAACGTCCGATCCATTGCTTTTTGAAATTCGGCTGGCATATCTGCCAACCCATAGAATCCCGTCAGAAATCTATATGTGCCCGTAGCTTTCCCCCCTACGATGTTGAAATTACACTGTCTTGCAGTTTGTGGACTCAACTTTAACTGACTATATGCATATTTCAAATCTAACACAGTGAAAAACAAGGTACCTGCTGTTTGTGCAGTTACTATCTGACTAACACCGTCTAATAGCTCCTCCACATTCGGCATCTGATACTTGTTTTTATATAATTGTCTGTTGATGGGCTTTGCATCCAGAGCCAATTTAATTGAATCATCTTTTTTCACTGTGATGACAATAGGGGCTATGAAACAATCACTGGTACACTTGTCTAACTTCTGAATATGGCCTTCTAGTAGTAATTTTTCGATTTCCTTCTCAACTTTTCCTTGCACATGGATGAGTATCCTCCTCCCCTTTTCCTGAATCGGGCAGAGAGGGTACTTGAACGTTATATTTACTACATGATGTACTGATCGTCCTTTTCTGTCAAACAGTGGTTTGAAAACCTCATAGAATTTTTCTTTCCACGGCCCCGACTGTTCGCACAGCATTATATCAAATCGGGATTTCATCTTCGGGGCGCGGCACCCAATATTGCTATTGGTTTTTTATTATAATCCACGAATTGTGCTGGTAAGTACAATTTTTCAACCGGGGTAAAAAGGTATTTTTCTTGATGAATCTAAAATCTGTTTCGCCACTGTCCAATTTGTAAATGACATTGGGATTCCGGTGTCCACGGTCATATTTATTATTTGATTATCAATTCGGATTAGAGCTTTCAGTGATTTCATCCTTCCCGACGATGAATCTTTCCGTATGTCAATTTTTTTCGTTTCGAGTTTGTTTACTCCAGTGCTGCCACTGTTCTCTTTTACTTTCTCATCGATGTATCAATTGATCATCTCTATCTGACTGTCTTTATGTTCAATTGCCATAACCTCGAATTCTTCGCACGAATCAAATGTTTGGATCAAGTTACATTCTTCCTCAGAACTCTCTGCATTCTCAGTTATTTCACTGACTTGTTGTGAACGACACATTCGAGCGAAGTGGTTTGGTTTATTGCAATTCTTACATTGTTTTCCCATTGCCGCACAATTTTTCAAATGACCGTCTACAAATGGTCTGCCACACTTGTTGCATTGTTTCCTATCATCTGCGTTATGATTACTCGATATCGCCCTTCTTTCCGGCTGTTTCCGTCTATTCCTTTCGCGATAGGGCTTTCTAGTATTCTGATTCTTGTTTCCTACCACCAAAATCGGTTCCTGCTTGATTTTAATTTGGGACCCTGGTTGAGTTGTTGCTTGAGCAGTACCCAGAGTGGATTTCTGAAACGCCTGTGTCGATTGTTTACTCTGCTCAAATTTTATCGCACGTTTTAATACTTGTTCGGGAGGTAATGTTTCGAACGTGAGCGTGTCCTGCAATGCTGGACTTCGCATTTTAGAAATAAAAAGATCTCTGATTAACTCATCTTCCAAAGTGTCCAATGCAAATTTCGCTGCTTGAGCAGTTAGTGCGGCATGAAATGACTCTAATGATTCTCCCATTTCCTGCGATCTATTAAATAATTTGTACCGCTCATAAGTGATGCCCTGACATTTTTCAAAAGTCACCTTTGCTAATCTAGCCATCTCTTTAAATTACAACTTAGAAATCTCCACATGTGGATTTTTTGAACAAAACGTTTCTTTCCTTCCGTCCCAAACGCGAGAAATAGTCTGGATACTAATCGCTTTTGAACTTCGTTGTAGTAAATATTGTGACCCACTTTAGGTCCTCTTTCTCTCCCCTCTTCATTCTGGGCTTCTACTCGATCTTTTAATAGTCTGTCCCGTGCTTCTCTAGCTGCTGGGTGTTTCTGGACGGGGTTCCGGCTCCTCTAACACTGGTTTAGGATCTTCCAGCATAACTTCTGGGTTGACATTTTCTTTTACAGTTACCGTCATCAGGAACTGATCGAACCATACTTTAAAATTCCAAGGTGGATCAGAGTTCGCTGTGGTCCAGTAAACAGGAATTCCTATGTCAGTTCTAGTGTCCTGAGCAAAAAATCCTGCTGGCTGCGCCATGTGATATCCCTAAACTGCGTAGCGTGTTGAGGAATAAAAGTAAGAAAAGATACTGTTAATTTACTGTTCTTGATCTTGTCTTTTAATGAAGTTAGTAGCTGAGATTGGTTACTGTTTTTTAGCAGGAGATATAAAACACTGACCAATTCAACCTTAAGATTTTAACAACATCAAATGGCCTTAACCACTCTTATTTAATAATAACATAATGAATATAGTTAGCACATATGGTTACTGCAGATGCTGTAGCTAGCAAACTGTCCTCAAGGTTATGTACTGCGGGTGCTGCAATACCACAATTTTCCACGCAAAATCAGGTACCTCAAAAAATTATTGGAAAAGATCGAGTGATATATCATATTAAAATCCTTTTAGTCGTGATTCGAACGACATCAAAAAATTTTGAAAACATTTTCTCAGTTTCGGGAAAAACTTGTTCAAAATTTTGAGTTTTGGACTAATATCAAGCGAGTATAAGAATTGATGGAAATTGATCATTGGAGCTGATGAAATTTAACTTTGCTAGAAAAAAAACTAGTTGTGGAAGCTTCATTTAGCGGTTCTTTGGCAATCAACGTTTTTTTTTTTTTAAATCAATTATTATTGTGCAAAAAAGGCTGAAGACCTTCAAAATTCGAACCAGGAATGATGAAATTTTAACTAATTAATTTTGCGCCAGTAACCACGAGGCTTCTTTGAGGTACCTGAATTCGCTTGAGAGAAGCTAGATCGTATGACTTTCCAATCAGTGAGAGTAATAATATATAAAAATATTAGGCGGTTGTCGTTTTTTGAAAAAAAATCTGGAGAGTGATTTTTGCGTCCAATCGCCGCTGTTTTAGTCTAAAAAACGAAAATTTTGAAACTCACCGTCGATTATTTAAAAATCGCCATCGTCTATTTAGCTCGATGCGAATAAAAGGGCTCCATATTTGACTCCACCTCGTCTCGATGCTTAATTCCGTTATGAATTTTTCTGTAGAAAAAAAACAATCTTAATTTGTTAGCCACTTCGTGAACGAAACAACTAACACGATGCATCATTTATTATCTTCATCTACTGAATATTCTGACAACCCGCTAGTTTAGTTGCGAGGTTCATGAATAACAATGTCGTTATTTGTTCATAGCATGCACCAAGATCCGGACACAGTGATCCAGCCATACAACCGACCAGCAGGGGGGCCATACACGTCCACTCACAACAAACGTATGCAGAAGGCACAACAGATTGCGTGAGTAAAAAATTGTAAACTCCAACAGTTGCCATAAATACATTGATTCTGACGTGGGAACATTTTTTGGTCAACATTCTCCAAAGACGCCAAAAAAAAACTTTTTCTCAAAGGTTCTCTTCCGGCGCAGAATTGTTTTCACGCTAAAATAATTAATAATTTTTGTTGCAATTTCGGGAAAACATAAAAAATTAATTTCAACGAGCCGAAATTAGTTCGGTGAATTTTTTGCGGCAATTTTGGTTTTACTTACAGCTTCTTGAAAAAAAAACAGGTATATTTAGTAATGAATATTTTCAGTCAAATGATTGAGGCAGAGGAAACTGCAGTTGCAGCAGTACCTGAAGTGGAACTAATGGGAGTAGATGGTCGCATCTACAAGGGCAGGACGGGGGAGGGACCTGCAGGCATGCCTCCGGGGATCGTCACTGCAGGGGAGTTCGAGCCCCCCAGGGGAGACTCGAGGGCCGGGGGAGGGGTGGAATTACCCGACATACAGCAGGTAAGCGATTAATAGATCAGTTGAGCAACAAATTTTTTGTCGTTTTCTTTCTCCAAAGTCAACCAATACAACAGTTCGAGTAGCTTTTTGCTTTAAAAAAGGCAGCACTTTTTTGATTAAGATCTTTCATAAACGATTTTAACCCACTGTGTATAAATGTCAGGTTAATTAAGAAATGTTTTTTTTCTTTTAATAACTTCAAACAGCATCCCAACTCTGCCCGTGGAGTAACATCGGGTGGTGGAATAATGGACTATGTCCATGGCCACAATGATTGGTAGGTGAGTGTGCTATTGCATGTCAGACAACATCATAACTTCATGGCATGGTTTGGTTATGATTGACTAGTTGCAGTAGATGAATATTTTTAAATTAGCAGTTTTTTTGGATCTATTGGATTACCTGTCATTTTACATCGGAGCTGCTCTTTAATCACCCCCAGTCTTATCAGAAGCAATCTAAAGTGTCAAAATGATAAATTTTGCGCTCGTAAGGCAAAGAATGGGGGAAAATGGTTGCTTGAGTTCAATATGGAATCAATATTCGAGCGAGTTGAACCTAAGCAGGGTAGATCTGATTCTATCAGGGCAGCGCCATGACTTTTTCAGTTATCCGTCGATGCATCTGATGTAGTTTTTGCCAAAAATGGTTGTTAAACTATCAATTAAAACGACAAATGTGTTAATTTTTCAAAAACTTCCCCCCAATCCAACACGCAATGTCAAATAGAAAAAAATATGTTCAGTGTTGATTTAAATTATCAGGAAAAAAACAAATGAAACTTGAATTTTCGAACGCGTTTTTCTCAATTTGGTTTGAAGTTAGACAAAAAGTGAAGATGAAAACAATTGCTTAGAATTTTACCAGAATTAATATGCTGCAATTTTTTCTCCGAAATTCTCAACCAAAATTTCACCCCAAAAATGGGTCATTTGGCTTTTTTTAATTAATCAAAAATTACGCCGAAACTAATTTTCTAATACATGCGAAAACTATATAACAAGTAGCCCCCTACACATCCCAACAAACTTCTACGAAGTTTAAATCTCCAAAAACCTGTATAAGAGAAAATATTTTAGCTTGATAGTCAAGAAATACGATTTTTACTATATAAAGCCCAAAATTTTTCCTTAAAAGCTAACTTTAAACAGTATGCTCAAACTTTTGGAGATTTAACTTTTCTAGAACTTTCTTGGGATGTGTAAGAGACTTCTTGTGATATAGTTTTCGCATCTTTTTACAAAAATATTTCAGCGTAATTCCTAATTAATTCAAAAAAGCCGAAATACCCCATTTTTGGTGTAAAACTTTGATTGAGAACTTCAGAGAAAAAATGCAGCATATTCAATGCTGGTGAAATTCTAAGCAACTGTTGTTCACTTCATTTTTTGTCTAATCTTAACCTAAACTGAGAAAAACGTTTGAAATTTCAAATGTTGTTCGTTTTGTCCGGTTAATTTAAATCAGCGATGCACCAGCGTTTAACGCTGAATAAAATATTTGGATCATTTGGCAAGCCTCAATTCAATTGAAATTGATTTTGAGCGGATAAGTTTGCCTCCTAAGCTATTCGTTAAAAGAAAAATTATAGTTTGCTATTCTAAATGGGCCAAAATGGCAATCCTCAGACATTTATTAATTCTCAAAAACTGATTGCACAATAAACATCAGTTTAATTTTGAGCTCAGTTCTTTAGATTGTACTAGTCAAAAATTGAAAAAAAGTCGGAAAATTTTTTTGAAAGTAGACCTGCAGATTTAACGAGTTTTCTAGATAATATTTCATGGTTATCTTACAATATCTATATTTCTAAAAAATTTAGGAAGAATAACCATCCTTCAAGAAAACCCTAGTTTTGCAAAATAATTAAATTTTTTAAACAGATTAGACAATCAGTTAGCGATCGTGAAATAAGCAAGCAACCTTAGCTACGCATAAACACACAACACACCAGACGATTGACCCAAGCTTTCTCAAAAGTTTTCTCGTGGAAGGTGGGTATCTTGCATTTATGATTAATTAGACGATTTGAACTGTTTCATTATCAAAATGAGCTATCAAAAAACGAGTAATGGATTTTGTCAGCTGGCAAACTACCCTACTCGTTTTTTCTCAGCTAAGATTGACATAAATACATCGATACATTTGAGAGGTTGATAAGAACATTAACAGATTCCGATTCAAGCTCTCTCTATAAAGAATTGCATTATTCAAAGCTACTTAGATCCATTATTATTTTACACATGGAGGGTTGAAGGAAAGAAAAACTATTAATCATGTCTCTGTAATTTTTGACGTTAACCATTAAAGACATGTAAGAACAATGATAGCCGGTTGCTGTGTAAGTAGCACAGAATATTCCGACCATACTCATAATAAATAACTAAAAAGCTTTTTCCTGTTTTTTTTTTTTAAATTAGTGTTTGTTTTTGTGAGTCGTGTGATAAAAGGATCTGACAAAACATAAAATTTAAATATATTCGACAGCCACAGTGAAAAAGCAAACTCCCCAACGGTTTTATTCGAGAAATGAAAAGAAAAAAATCAAAATAGCCCTAAAAATAGCATAAAATAGCACTTTTATTCCAAGATAGTATTAAAAAAACTTCGAACAAATTTTACTACAAGTAAACTTAAGTTTCCGTTTTTTATCAGCCTCTTCGCTTGTTTTACTCCAAAAAAGCGCTAAATGGAGCTTCCAAAACTAATTAGTTTTTAGTTATATTATTCTTTATAGTTATGGCAAATTGTTATAAAAAGAACGCTACTTGATTTCTTTACTAGCTGAAAATTTTGATCCAATTTTATCGGTACTGGGGCAAATTTTTGAAAAAATTTTAACGTTGTTTGAATTAGGGCTGAAAGGGCTTTAAAATGATATATCACTAGACTCAGTCCGATGTTTATTTGTGGTACCTGATTTTGCGTGGAAAACAGAAAAAAACCTAAAACATACCTGAATACAAAGTTCCTCCTCATTATCAAAAGCCTGACCAGTTATCAGCTACTACATCAACCAATTGAAAAAACCCAGGTCTGAAAGGGACGACTGACAGGGCTTTAATATGATATATCACTCGGCCCCTTTCCGATGATTGTTTGTGGCACCTGAGTTTGCTTGGAAAAAAAGAAAAAACCAAAACACATCCAAATACAAAGTTCCTCCCCATTTTCAACAGTCGGAACAAAAAGCCGAACCTTCTGTTTCGTCTTTTTTAGTTTTTCTTGGGGAATTGACGTATATTTCGAGTGAAAATTAACAACTTCAAATAGCTTAATGACTCAAAAACAAAATTGAAACGTTTCTCAGACCACTTGTTTCAAAAGATCACTTGACGTTTCGTAACTATCAAGGTTCCCGGTTTCTGCTAAATTTTTGTAGACTTTAATTTTGATTCAGAATGACCATGGATGAAGTGAGCATTTCCGAAACCAAACATTTTTCTTCCAAATTGCAGACTATTTTAGATCGATTTTTTTCAGTTGGACGCTACATATATCAAGTAAATTTGCAATCAGTTGCCTGTTTAATTACCCGAGCATTTTTTCTGAAATTTAAATAAAAAACTTTCAATTTTAAATCCAGATCATTTGATATTACTGGTGCATATACAAAACAGTTCAATACAAAACAGTGCGGTAGAAGGTCGCCGGTGGGTCGCTGCGAGCGCGTCGCCGCTTCGCGGCGATAACGGGCTCTAAATTTTATATCAAGTCCTACCCTCTGTTGGCAAAGCTCGCAACACGTTGGCGCGACTGCGGCGGTCACTATTTTGTTCTTTATGTTTGTTGAACAAAGGACAATTTTTGGCCTACCGGCTTGTTAAAACAATTATTGTTTGGGACCGTTTTTCGGACTGTTTTGTATCGGACTGTTTTATTATTCATTTCCATATTTTTCCGGACTGTTTTGCATTGGACTGTTTTTTAAGGGCCTGTTTTGTACAGACACCGATATTACTAGTTGGTGCTGAAAAAAAATTCTGTGCAGGAGAATTCTTATTTATTTTTTTCATCAGAAGTTTATCGCGATCTTTTTGGGTCATCAGAATGCATGAATGAAGTCAAATAGGGCTACCAATTTTTCACAAAACTAATGACCGTTGACGTGGCTTCTTTAGCTTTGTAATTAAAACGCGCATCGGAAAAAAAAACGCCAATTTTATAAAAGAAAGGCTGGCCTTTGCTGTGTTTTCAGAATGCTCAATTGACAAAAAGCTCAAAAAATTTATATTTTTTGATCCTCCTGAAAAGAAAATGTCGCCCGTAGTTGCTACAACACGGTGGCCAGTAATCTTAAATTTTATTGTTTTTTTCTTCCTTTTTCCTTTTTTTTTCAGGCAGAATCAAGAGCCTCGAGTAAACTTCAAATGAATTTGAGTGATAAATCAAAGTAAACTATTTGTCTCAGTCGTGTTTCGGTTGTCTTGAAAAACAGTCTAAAAAATTTCCCAGGTGTCTGTAAAGCTGCAAAAATCTGATCTATGGCTTAGCGCTTCTCCGGCATCAAAATTTTTTTTTCGTTCACGTTATTCATTTTGCATGTTGTAGCCAATGAAAGCCGTTACTAATGATTCAAGCAAAAAAATTACGTTTAGTCGGAACCTTCTGTGCTAATTGGAAAACAACCGGCAATTCTTGTTTTTATCCGTTTTTGATATTGAAATTCTCGCTCACTTTGCGAATAGCTTCCAAGTGTAGCTTTTTGTATTCCATTTCATGATATTTGGTTTGATGCCATAGTCTATAAAAGTGCAAAACACTTAGATCATTACAATAATATATCCGTCTCCGTTTCAAAAAATAAAGTAATTGTTTGATTAAGCGCTCCGGACGGAGAAGCGCAGTACTGAAGTCAGCTAAGAGGTCAAGTGCCAGAGGTCATCATGGGGGTCAAGGCCATCCGCAGAAGCTGAAGCCATCGACACCAGTGACCGAGGCACAACATCCGGTACATATCGATCCAGACCTCATCAACAGTCAACATCATGACCCGGCAACCCCCATGGAAGTGACTAGTGTTCGAGACTAAATGTATTAAAGTTGTAAATTTAGAAAAACATATTTTGATTTTGAAGTTCACAACAAGTGAAGTAATATTGAAGAGCAATGGTGTAAAAAAGCGTATTCTGCAGAAAAAAAAATATTTCTGAACTGAATAAAAGTGCAGCTTTTGTATCTAAGAACTGCCTAAGCGAAAACCATAAACACTAAAAACATTTTGTTTCCTTTTAATTGATACTATCACCTTTAGCCTCAAGAGTATCTCAGTTTTAATTTTGACCAGAATGCGCGTTCAAGTACCAGAGCAGTGAAAAATAACAAGGAAGGAATTTGTTAGTGACGTGTTTTACTAATCTTCTTTATTTGAAGTAGAAGTTTCGAGAACGTTGTTTTTATTCGTCATACTGATTGTTTCCTTGAAATTTTAAATTGAAATTTAAAAAAAACTTGACGTTTGTCAAGTATTCAATTGAGTTTAAACTGAACATATTGACGAAATAAACTATTTTTTGATGAAGAAACTCGATCAAAGACAATTCACCCAATGAGCAATTGAAATAATTGATTGTCCAAAAACAGCATGGCAATATTCAGCCCTCTAATTAATTATTTTAGTCAAATTAATTTTTGATACATAATATTTTAAAATTAGCGTCTGGATGCTTGCGTTCCAGACATTTATGCCAATAGAAAAAACTTCCAAATGCAAAATTATCCAAGACAATGGGTTCCTAGAAAGATATGTCCGAAAAGCGTCCAAGAGGTGTCTGGCTAATTGACACACAAAATAACGCCAGATTTTTGTGACAAAATTTTTAGTAGGTGGGATTCATTTGATAAAACTAAGCAACTGTGCAATTAGATGCAATCTTTCTATGAGTACGAGAGAAGAAAAAAATGTTGGTTGTAAAAAATGCGTTTTCAAATTTTTCTGGTGGCTTAAAAATTTAAATAAAAGTAAAAACAGAAACCTGAGTTAAGTATGAAGTACTGTATTCATAGAGTAATTTCAGATAGGGTACACCGTCTGCTCGTCACGCTATCTTATTTTCGGCCGGATAGATTCGTGCAACTTCTTAGTCTAATACCGATCTTAATCTTACTCTTATATCTCCTAGTCTCGATAGATCTAGTGTACACCGGTTTGCGCGAGTTAGTTCCAGAATGAGAACAACTGTATTCTAAGTTTAATTCAAATTGCTCTGGTGTTGAAACTGCAAGTAGTTTCAGCACTTTACAAATAAATAGGTTGTTAGTTTGATGGAGTATGATTGGTTAGTATTTAATATTTTATAGAGATTAAATGTCATAATTTTAACCAATGATAAATACTAGTTTAGATCTGGTTCCAAACCATCAATTTTTGTTTTCAAAGAGACTGGTCCAAAACGTTTGATGTTTTTTTCCTAACTGCAGTTTCGGACATTCATGCACTTATTGCTTCGGAAATTGAAAACCTTTCCGACTTCACGTGATCTTATCCACGCATGAAGAAATTTGGCGGTACTAGTTAATTTTTTTGGTCCCGTGAGAATACTATTTCAGATGAGTGGTCCGGTCTATATCCCAAGAATTCAGCTCGGGTTTCGAACCTACGCCTTGAGCTTGGTAGCCGGATTCATGCCAGTTATACTAACTAGGCCCGGTGTTTGATCAACATAGAAAAATTAAGATGTTTACGATGAAATTTATGCCACATACTGTACCTCTGTTTTTAAAAGGGAGCAAAGCATTTATGAGGTACCAAAAAAATTAACTAGTAGTTATGTTTCTGCTGAATTTTAAAAAAATGTTTAAAAAAAATACTTCTATTTCGCTCCGGCTGAGTAGTACATGCAAAAGGGCTTACAGCTCACGTTCACGTTTCAGCATTTGTTTCAGGCATTTATGTCATTTAAGTAGCATATCAAACAAAATCAATACCTCCGCTATATTGTGATTTTTGAATATTTTGAAGTTTTGAATATTTTCCACCAACTCAGTAATCAACAGCATATGAAGTCAAAAACTTGACTGCTCCTTCTGTGAAGTATTTGCCGGAGATTATGAATTTGTATGATAAGCTAGAAAATTGTTTATCAAAACTAAAACAAATATATATTTTTTCAATTTTCTGTAGAAAAAATCCTAGACGCATTTTGACTTGAAATTAGACTCTCATTTCTTGGAGCAATTCAGTTTAGATTGATACCAAAGGTGGCTTAAAGCGCTGCATCGCGTTGTTAAGCAATTAAACGAATTTGTTAGATAGAATTAATCAAATAAACGACATTCAATATCCGATACTGACGGTATTCTAGACTCCTTAAGTTGAGATGATATTTTTGAGAATTTTAACTTAGAGCTCACAGCATCAAAATTATCCAATAAATAAAAATCAAATATCAAAAATGAAAATTGAAAATTGCTTGTATAGTTAAGATGTTTCTTTTTGAAGTTTACCCGCTTTTCGCTATTCGCTATTGATTTCACTTTAGTATTTAACAGTTGTTAATTTGACTGTTACTGCATTTCAAATGCTAATGGGTTTTATCATGTTATTTGAATCATTTCAAACAGGAGAGGATTTATTTGAGTGAAGTGAAGATACGGTTCAAATTGAAGAGCAACAGTTAATTACAGAACACGTGGTTTTTTGCATCCGTTTTTTGCAAACGCAATTTTTTTGGTCAAAATTTTCTATTTTTTTTTAGTCAAAAGTGCATAAAAACGGAATTTTGACCTGTTTTTTTTCTTCAAAATCGGCTCTTTATAGTGTTCTGTGACTGCTCGGAAAATTAGTCAAACTGAAATAAAAAAAAGTTCGACTAAAATTTCGAAATTTTTTCCAAAATCAACCCCCTCAAAAAAAATTTTTTAAGATGCCCTTGTCTGGAATACAAAGCAATAATCGATTTTGAAAGCAATCCAATTTTGATTTCCCATTTAGTATTTTAGTATATCTGAAAAATGCTGCTGTTGATGATTGGTATTTTGTGGCCTATCTTTTGAAAAATAGTTGAGATATATATTCTTAAAAATATATTTTTATATATATACGATAAGAAAGTAATCAAAATTTAGCCAACTCTCAAAATAAATTAGCCACAAACACTTTCGTATTTTCGAAGTGCTACTAAAAAGCTGGTTTTAAAGCAGAAAATGATAATTAAATAAGGCTCAAGTTTTTTCTATGGTATTAGAACAATAAACATTGACCCAATCTACTATATGTCAATTTACTCTTGATGCCTAATAAACTATTCTAATTCTATGTCTCTATATGTACAATTACTGTACATAAACTTAAAAAGACTACAACTATTAAAAGGAAGTATTTGAATTAAGAACGTTAAAAGAACAACTGAACTTCCGATCATATCGACCAATGGTCGTAACTAAATTGGTTAACAGGTATTAATTAAATACCGAAGGTCATCTAAAATACTAAATCAAATCACAACATTTCCCACCGGGAAAAAAATAAAATTGCAAACTAACTACATAACTCTATAAACACCTTTTTCCCCCTTCGAGAATGGAAAAATTTTTACAAACTGCACCAATAAGGTGAATATACAGAAGCAAAATAGAATCCACAATTGAGAGAGAATGTACAATGTACAGGGTGACTATACAGAATTACAAAATTTACAGGATACAGTAACTAACTAAATTAAAACTAATCCACAACATGTACATTAACATGTACAATTGTATCTAGAGGTAAAATTGAAAGTCCGACGGTAAGATGTGGTTCAAGATTGTTTTGTTCAGTTTATTTGATATGTAAATTAATTGAATCGGTTGTCAAAATCATCCAATTTAGCCCTCATTTCCGAATCTATAGACAAGTAGATCTAGCTACAGTTGTCCACCTCCAGCGGGGGGTCGTTCGTGGTCTGGTAAGCTGCATTTGAGCCCGATGAATTTTCGTGGAAATGAGTCTTCGTAGGAGAGGTAACTGGTCTGACCGTCGGGAGGGAGTTCTTTGAAGACCACGATAACGTCGTTTCCGCAACGAGAATTTGTCGGGATGTGCCTCCGCTAGTGGTGTCGAAAAGTCGGACGGTGAAGTGACCGTAAAAGTAGTCCTATGAGTGTCGGGTGACAAGGAGAATACTGAAGGTGACACCCCTGGGTCGTCTTTTTCGAGAACCGCGTCTATAAAGCGGCGATTTCCGTAAAACTGTGGGGGGCCACATTTCTGCGTGATCTAGAATTTCGAGGCTTTATCTTCGGACTGTCCGTATGCTCCGGAATACTGTCTACCAGTATTGGATTGTCTTGCGATCCTTCTGTCGTGGTCGAGTCGTGGATGACAACGATCTCCCGGTGACCCTGACCTTTCTGAACTCGGGTGTGGAGATTCGACGGTACCTGTAACACTTAAGCCCTGGTTAGATTCGGAATGAAGGCTTTCAGGTATATTGTTATTGGTCACATCGTCGAAGTAGTCATCGATTATCCCGTCCCACGAATCTAGGTTTAAGGAAGAAGATGAACCTGAAGAGATTCTTGAAGCGTCTTGAGTGGCCGCGCTCACCATCGGTGCACCAGTCCCTGCTCTGGTGTTGGACGTTCTTGAGGTGCCTTGAACCGAATGTCCAGCGGGTTTCGGTACAGCTTTCTTTGGTGGAGAAAGTTTCATTTTCCCAGCTAAACTCGAATGGGTATGAAGTTTATGCCCGGTGGGTGTCTGATTCACTATTATCTTTTTGGGCCCAGGGAGTATTTTTCTTTTTATAGCCAGATCCGATTTACGTAAAACGTGACCGTTGTCAAGGGTTATGGTGTGTTCTGAAGAATCAATGATATCCTTCTTAACCAGATTAAAATATGGGTCCCTATTTTTCCTGTTAGACACCTTTCTATATAAGTTACCTCGCATTATTGTTTTTCTTTTTGCCAGAGGTTCTGAAGTTTGATTAATGTCGTCCGGGTTTGTATTTAGGGTGACAGTCCTAGATAGTGGCAGGTTGTCTTCTGGGTCTGACGTGCTGTCCTTTTCCTCGTCCAGATATCCATCTTCTGCCCCCGTCGTGGAGTTCCCAGTTAGTGGCCCGATCTTTGGACATTATAGCTTTCCCTTTACCTAAATGGTCAATATCGGACGTAAGATTTTTCCACCTAGGGTTCGCTACTCTATTAAAATGTTTTTCAAAAGGTGTACAGCCGATAGCGGATTGCTTCAAGATTCTCAAATTCCGAATGATTTTCTCGATCGACTCATTTAGTGACGGCTTGGGTAATTCGAAGGACATTGCCAGTAATTTCGATTTAATTGTGTACACTAAGCTTTCCACTAGCCCATTGGATTTGTGGTCCCCGACTGTGCAGTAAATAATTTCCATACTAAATTTATCGTAGAAGTTTTTGAAATCATGTGATAAGAAGCATGACCC